TGTCCCGGGCGTCGACTCCGGGGCGCAACACGCTCAGGTCGGCGGCTTCGTGGGAGACCATCCTTCTAAACTCGGAGTACGCCCGGCCGCTGGACGTTCTCAGCGAAAACTTGGAACGGTATAGGTTGTCGAACCTTGCTATCTAAAGCAGCACTAAACCCTTTCGAGTTCAAAAACGAGAGAGTAGTTTTTTTCTTCTCATCTTCACTAGCTTTAAAACAGCCGTTATGTCATCCTCGCAACCTATTAAGACGAAAGCTTTAGATGCCTCATCAAACGCGAAATTTAACCGTAGGCGTTGGGGGCGTACTTGATGACGTCATCATGGCGTCACGATAACGTCACACAATATGACGCCGCCATATGAAATCACCACTTCGTCAAAGGTAGACACAGATCACGGAGATACTGTAAAAACCAGGTGCGTTGCAAAAAGCTTACGTAGGGCGAAGGGGGATGATTAGTACATCAACTGAGAATGAAAAGAAAACGGCTACCTTCAAATCGTCATAGGTAAAGGCATAAAGGAATCTATGAGTTTTGTAGCGAAATTAGGCGGTTACGGTCGAGGTTTGTCGTGAGCATTACATAGAAAATTATCATAGTCTTCATAAACTGACACGCACTCAGTCCCCACGCTGAACATTCTGTACAGATAGTTAACAAGAGACGCTGAAACGTGGCCACCAACCCTGCTGGAACCAAGCCTTGCGTGAATTAGCGCAGAGTTCGCTCATTTTTTTTTCTTTGTTAGAACCAGTGGACAATGCCAATTCAAAGCGTTGAATCCATAAGGACTTCGTGCTTTTGAGCGTCACGCTGTTGTTCCCGCTTGCGAAGTCGAAAACACGAAAAAAAAATCACGAAATGAAATCTGTTGATCGCGCGCTATAGCTCTGCGAGACAAGGCTGAGAGGACGTGCGACTGCGTGGTAAAGCAGAGTAGGAAAAAATTGATAACCGCCGATACTTCTCCAATATGGGGTAATCGAGAGCTTATTTCTTCATGACGTCACGTGAACGACTTCTGTCATTGAGCCTTGGATCGAAAAGACTGAAAACGCCAGGAGAGAATAATGCACTCATTCTTTGCATTTTCAGAGGTTGTTCAACGACCGTTTAACGAAGCTTCTTCGTCATCGAGTCGATGTTATTTCAAAATGTTCGCCGTTGTCCTTATGCGTGTGTTAGCAAAAAAAAAAGAAAAAAATTCCAGGTATTTACTTAAAACGAAATATCACAAAGGTGAACACTTGTACGCAATTTTCGTGCTGACATTAAGCGGCGTTCTCAAATGCTTCACGAGTTCCATAAACGTATGTTTGCGTTCATTCACAGGCAACGACGCAAGAAAATCCTCCGCCGCCTCTTCTGTTGCTGTCCGCCATTCTGATCCAAACATGCTGCGCCGCGGGTCATCATCTGCCCACTTTAATATTGCTCGGAGAAAGTCGTCCAGTTCAAAAATTCCGTTTTAGTTCAAAATATATTTATTCGCACGCAATATTAAAAGAGTTGTTCGCTTGAAGGCGCCGTCTCTCAATTCAACACCCATTGAGAAGTGAATAAACGTGCAAGTACTAACTCGCTCACTTGTAAAGGATATGCTCTTGAAATAAACAAAAGAAAACCAATAAAGCTAGGTACGATGAAACCTGAGCGCATTCAAGGAGTCCCAAATTGCGTCGCAAAGGTAGCACAGAAAATACTGTCACAAAAAAAAAAGCACATCTGCTGCTTTAAATTTGGTACATGTAATGTACTGCTGAAATATGCTATCTTTAAGTCCGCCACCTGTTATAATAATAATAGTAATAATAATAACAATCATCATCATCATTGTTATATTAATATTATCATTATAATATTAATATATGGACTGAAACGTAGCATGTTTCAGCAGCACGATACACGTACCAAATTATCAACAAAAAATAGTGCGTAACTTCTCTCTCTTATTCATTCTATATATAAAGCTACGCCTCGAACGAGAAGCATTTGGTTCTACCTATTACGAATCACGGTTTCTATGGCATGGAAAAAAAAAGTCACAGCTTTGCCGCAAAGGAGAAACAATAAACGCGATAGCAACAAATTGGAAGGTCACGCGCAGAATGGCAAGCAGATCGAAACTTGCCCAGCGTTTCTCACGGTCGTGTGACGCACGAAACGTACTCACACGCTCATGTGCTGTGCTAGTTTAAGTAAATGTCATTTTCAAAGAGCTCTATACAGGATCCGAACCTGCGACCGTTATTCGAAGGTCGTGGGTTTCAGACACAAGGATGATTCCTGTTCGTTAAAACAAATGTTAAGACACATCACACGTGAAGCCGCCCCATATGAGGCGCTGCCTCTTTTTTGTTTTGTACAATGATGCAGCAACTATTGGGCAGCACGAAAAGTTCTCTACAGGTGAGACTCTCGTTTTCCTTCGATCTAAGGTCATCCACGCTGACTTTACCAAAACGCTCGTAAAAGCTAGCTTCTCTGCAGTGAAATCCTTAATGTGGCAAAATTAGCCTGCGAACAATTCACGGAACACGCGGTGTCGCTGTAGTGAACGTTTCGACAAGCGTTATTTTTCTCTTCAAGGCAGAAACTTGTATCCCGTGATCGTTCGTGGCATGCTTGAACATGAGGTGTACGATGTCACAATGACAATCGTAATAGATGTAGGAAGATAGAGTAGCATGAGCTGCAATCAGCAGTCAATGCAGTCGACGGTGTTCAGCAAATAACTCTAACGGCGATATTCATGAAGAAGCAGGCCAAGTGGTATCTTTGATATCGTGTTTTTGCTTTTCATGTGTGACAGTAAGTTAACGTAGCCCTTTTTATCGAGTTTTATCGGCATATATCCCTCTCCTCCTTACCTCCTCGTCATTAGCCTGGCGTGTTCTCTTTGCTCATGCGCCCGCATTAGCAACCTGATTTCGAACATGCAACGTATCTAAATTTAAAGAGTAGCCTCTCGCCATTTGTTCGGAAGCCGTTTACATTATAGACATCGATGCCTGCATAAAAAAGCTACTGCTTTCTATAGTACTTCTCTCGATAACCGTGAAACCTGCACGTTCATTGAAGTCTTCGTTTGTAGCTTAAGTATAACGGTGCTGGACAGACCTGCGAGTGTGAAGCAGCGCGGTCTTTTGTTGCCGGCGGCGGTGCCGAAAGAAGAAGCGACCGTGGAGGCGAGAGCAAATGGCACTCGTGACCTTACCGTCTTGGAAGGCAGCGTTTTCTCGGCTTACACACCAGACGGGAACACGCGCATGACCTCGACAGCCTTGACAGCGTCGTTTCTATAGACGGAGTGGCCAAAAGGAGGAGCTTATAGCCAGGCGCCTGTTGCGGGAAACAATAATTCCTTTCACAATTTCATGATCATGGCTCGTGCAGCCAAGAATAACGTCGTCTTCGGCACCGAAGGTGTACGGGTTGTACGGCGCAACCCGTACAGAGAGTGTACCGTATAGCGAGAGTACTAAAGGTGACCATCCGTACGTGCTTTAAACCTAATTTTCGTCTAGATTGACTATGGCAATCATGTTACAGGTTGTACACGTTGCTGTATGCGAAGGGAGGTACCGCGAACTAAAAATGTGGCCATGAGCTGCTCGACCGTGCTTCTTGAAACACTGACACCATTTTTTTACACAAGTTTTCGCAAAACTTGTTGCCCGAGCGAGATGATCACCTTAACATGGAATGTGATAGCGAGCACCAACAACGCCTTGAGCCATAAGTAGTTCTTTCAGGTATTTCATAAGGTTCATTCTTACTGTTTTACTACAGTTATAACACAATGCTTCCATCTATTTGCGTAGCCTATTTCTCAGTGTTTTATTGCTTCCGAAGCCATGTTGTAGATAGAGAATATGCCATCTTTTTCCGAAGCCACAGCACCTTCCACAAGAAGCGACTTTGGTGCATGCGCCATCAACGCGCATATATATATTTTTTTTTCGACAGGAAGCGATTAAAATCTCCTTACAGCCGTCAACAGCGATTTACGTGTTAATGTGGTGTGTGCATGCTTGTCGCACGCAATGGCTGCATCGCGCGCTGCACATCTTCCATCACGAAATCGGACACGTCTCATCAACTCTCCAGCTTCCGGGATTCGCCGCCGGCTCTGTTCAATGCTGCACGTAAGGGTCAAGGGCCTCGCGTGTAATTCGCGATGGGGGCAGTCTTCGAGGCATTTTCTTTCCGCGTTTTCCTTCCGCCGGTGCACCGAAAGCCGCTTACACGATAGCGGCGCCGGCCGCAACGAAGGGTGGATATAGCCTCTTGCGTCAGCGTCCAGAACTGCCCGCATCGGCGCGAACGGACGTTCGGCATACCCGTCGCATCAAAGGCAGCTCCTCCGCGGCAACCCTCCATCGACGTGCATAGCCGGCCGTGGAATCCCAGGCTCCGACAGCGGCGCCGAATACGTGCTGCGCGGCTTCGCGTACCTGGGAAAGGAGGGTCTCTTTTATACTACAACCTCCTTGGTCCGGCAGGACCCAACAAAAGCGTGAGCAACAGCGGCACCGGCAGCCGGGGACGAAGCGAAGGGTAACTGGCCAAACCAGTCCTCACGGCATGTGGAAGGCTACCTACCTGGACAGCGAAGCCGCCATGTTGAGGAGGGGGATGCTACCTCCTCGCTGGTGTCGGCACGTTCCTTCTCTTCCTCATCCGTGCCCCTCTGAGCGCAGTGGCGGCGGAGGTGGCGTTTAATCCCGAGTGTGAGTTCACGGCGGTGTGGCGGTGCGTTTCGGTTTCCCCTCCAGCTGTCTCTGTCCTTCGCCCGTTGCGCGCCAGCGTGCCAGCGCATTCTTCGGGGACGACGAGGTTCGACTGCGCCGTGCGAGCTTGCGCAGAAGACCTTGCGGGCCGTGCCGGCAGCGTTTCGCCGACGTTTCGGATTGTGTGCGATGAGGCAGCGGCGGTGAGGAGAGGAAAAAGAAGACGACGCCGTCGTCCCACGATTGTGCGGTGTGCTGCTCCCCCGGCGAGCGACGAGCGTTGAGAGACGGTCGTGTACTGCGAGCAGCAGCGGCATTCAAGACGGCGGCGCTTAAGCCTAAAGCGATCGAAGCGGGCGCGATCATGGAGCCCAAGTACGAGTACGCGAGCGAATTGAACCTCTACCAGGCCAACTACATGCGCAACTCGAAGGCCATCGGCGTGCCTCTGGGCAGTGTTCACCATCTGCTTCGCCATCATCAACGTGGTGGTGTTCATCCAGCCGCACTGGCTCGGCGACACCAAGGAGTCGCGCGGCACGGGCCACTTCGGCCTGTGGCAGTACTGTCACCTGATCCAAGACGGCCAGGACGTGACGTGCCAGGGCCGACTGGACGACTTCAGCTCGATCCCGTCGGCGGCGTTCCGCGCGGCCACTGTGTTCGTCGGATTATCGGTTGTCATGGTGTTGTTGTGCATCTGCTGCATGCTGCTCTTCTTCGTGTTCCACTCGTCAACTGTGTTCCACATCTGTGGCTGGATGCAGGTCTTCTGCGGTGAGTGTCGCTATAGCTTAGCGCGCGCACGGCGCCCTCTGGTCGTCGCGTTGGAAGGATGCGAAACTAAACAATTATTGCAGGCGTACTATATCTCCTTGAGCAATTATACGTACAAGCTGTTTGTTCGCAGTAGACACCGAAGTTTCAGAAATGGTGTTCTGGCAACCGAAAAAGCAAGCACCTTTTCGTTCTATTAGTTTTGCGGTCTCAAAAAACATGCGTTTGGTTGCTGAAGCCAACGCAGCACACGTCATATATCAAAAAAGCTTGCCAAGTAGACATTTCTTTCTTTTGTTAGCATGCGCTGTGCACACTTACAGCTGTTTTTACACCATGAAAAGTGTACTGTTTCAGTGTTACCAAAGTCTAGGACATGCATACTCTTGTACGGTAGTGCGAGAGGTTCGATACGTTTAAGTCACTGTGTCTATCCGCAACGCTGATCTTACAAAGTATGCGATGCGAAATATTCTCAATAGTCAATGGTGTTCCTTCTGAGATCTTCTGTGTTGCATCAACTTACTAGCATTTGTTCCAATTACTATAAGTTTTAGGTAGCGCTTCTCGCGAATGGCGGGTTTCCGCCATGACACGAGTAGGGCACTGCAGGCGGCTGTGCAGTCAAGTACACACAAACACACAATATATATCCACCATTCCGCACATTACTGCCGGAGATTCCTGGCTGTAGGTGGTACAGTGTGATTCGCAGTGTTCGGGGGGTATGTATGGCTGAAAGGGGTGTTCTGCCAGCTCTGAAGAGGTTCTCAGCTGTGCACGCGAAACCAAAGTACAACACCTTCATATTATAAATGTTGCGGCACTATAAAACTCGCACACTACGTGGTAAGACGACGGGACAGATAAGACGACGGGACTTTTGTGGTGTGCGAGCTTTTAGCATCTGAAACAGTTATAAAACAAACAACACCGTCTCACCCAATAGGAAGATCTTTTAAAGTACTGATAGACTTACCAAATTGCACTTTATTTTTGTAGAAAGTGGCACAGTTGCTTTAGACAAATGCGAGTCCAATAAGGTTAAGGAAAAATTGTATGATATGATTAGAAGAAAGGACGTGACAGTTTTAGTGCTCGTCCTTTTTGTTCTGGACAATACTAATAGAACTAACAGACAATGATGCCAAGGAAAGTATAGGTTTGAGCATCGGAGTGCGTTATTTGAAGGTTTGGTTCTGCCCACGGCAAGTTGTCGTTTAATCCCAATTTCTTTATTGACATTTACATTATAATTAATTTTAGTAACATCTTCTATACTTCCTCGCATCATTCTCAGTTAGTCGTCATTAATGATACGATTGTGTAGTATATAACACAGCACGCAAACACATGTTGACATGTTATGCGCAAAACACTCGCATGATTGCAGCTTGTATCCCATCTGTGATGTAATTACACGTTCCTTCACATGTACCTCTGCATTAGTTCTTTGCACCACACATTTTTGTGTGGGGCGCGCGCCCTCAAAATTTGTTTAAAAAGTGGTAAATGTACGAACGTTTTTCAATAAATTGAAGAACATGGCGATAGGGACAGCATGTGGACTTGGAGAAGGCCTACAAAGAGCGATCTGAGTACCCTTTAGTCTGTATCCTCTTCTAAACTTGTAGTAACAGTAAAACAAAAAAAAAATCAATTAGATAAATAATTTAGACAGCTTCTTTAAGCATTCCATTCAAACATTGGCGCCGCCACCAGAACTACACCTTGAATGTAGCATTCTGTCTACATAGGTGTGCCCTTAATTCTCAGCGAACCTGCTGTCAATAATGTGGACAATCTATATTAAGGTATACAGACTCCATTTATATATTTTCAAATTGTTTTACTAGGTAACTTAACCGTAACGTGAGCTCCCAGTGCACGTTCTTCAGTTTCGCGGCCTCTTCTGAAGCACAAAAACGCGGATATATCAACAATAATACAACGCAGCTTCGTTTTGTCATAGCCTTCGTGACCAAAAACTTGCGTCAACTAGCATATACATTCCACGAGCAGCAGGGCACAACCGCATTTAAAATAGCCATAGTTACGTAACACACGAGCAAAAACAGCTCTGCGAAAGCTGCGCGCCGAGGGGGCACGAAAGATTAACGAAAGAGCGCCGCGGAGAGCATCGATCCGGTTTTCTACTTTTCCGTGTTCCTAAGTACGACCATATCGCAAGGATGTTGCAGACGGCGGGGCTGATCCCGCTGTGTTGGTGCGTCCTGCGTGGTTGCTCGTTCAAGGCCACCGTCCTAAATGCGGTGCCTGCGACACAAGCCATACACGCCCGATGACCTCACGTGCATCGCCGTTGTTTCTTTCCTTTCCTTGCTAGCGGAAAAAGCTTTGCCTCTTACGTTGGCCTGCCCTGGCGCGATTCATCACGCAAGACCTGCTGCGTTATAGCCGGTCGTTTCGAACACACTATGTGCACGTGAGTGTGCGGTCTTTGCCATAGTGAATGCGCGTAGAATATCCGAATCTTCTGTATACAGTCATTGCTTCGCTACTTGCTTACGACTATTATTAGGCGAGAATGAATGAGTGCCATGCGTGCAATATGCTCTTTACCATCCTCGCCCACCGCTCTTGATATACCTAGAAAACAAGCACCACTTTAGCGTGTATGAAGAGAAAATTATGCGTAACTATTATGTTAATGGGAAGTCACAAATATAGCACTTGTAGCATAGAGTACCGCACCCCACTCATCCACCTTCCATTCACGCAGTGGCCGCCACACCATAGGCCTAGCCGAATTTGTTAAGCTTCCAGTTCCTCGAAGTGCGCGTTGTGATGGCCAGGTGACATCGCTAATGGCGTGTTTTTTATCACGATTGGCCGAAGTTTTTTTCTGTCACAAACAAACCTGTCGGAGAGAGAAAGGAAGAGGAAGACTGTGAGGTTAACTAGATATTAGCATCCGGTTTGCTACCCAGTGCTGGGAGGTGGAAAATTGGGGCAAGAAAGAGGGCGAAGGTAAAGATAGAAAGAGATAATAAAAAAAACACAAACAAACACGGCACGAACAGCGTTGCGGCTACAGTCATTCATGAATACCGTTCGAATCGCAAAAAGCGCAGTAGCGCTTTCACAGGCCCTATTTCGTGACGTTGCACCCCCGACGATGGTGTACAATTCCCTTTTCCGGCAGAGGTTTGTTATCTATCTTGTTGAGCACGTTGCAAAGGTGCAGTCACTGTGCACTATAGTGTCGACAGTCACGAAAGATGTGTCCAATAGTTTCTCTGCAGTGGTCACAGGTGGTGGTATCGGCCATCCCAGTGCATGCAAAAATCATTTGCGAGTATATATATGCTTGATAGACATTTATAAAATGAACATATAGCGACAAGCATTCAGTGGCAAGCCGTATTTCACGCAGGGCGAAATGAATGTAATCAAATGTATTAAAAACCACTAGTACGAATTTAGACTAAATATTGCTCACTGCATGTACCACATATATGCGAGGCGAGCGCAATGATGATGCACAATACGTGTGCGTTTTAACATAAAAATTGTTGTGAAGAGGACAAGAAAAGAAGTACATGACAGGACGTACAGTAGAATGTATCACCAACCAGCCCCACAAAGTGTTGTTAAGAACCATGTGATCGACGTATTTTACCGACATGCGTGCTGTGATTGAGATTGCATCTACGCACGTTGTTACAGCTAGAAGTCGCGTACAAACAACATTAGGTAATACACATTATTCCATTAGCACATTTAAGTAGCCATGCATACTACCGATGCCATTTTCAATATGGATGTGCTTCGATGTGTGTACATTTTCGTTAGGCGGTGTGCAGGTCTCCATATAAGACCAAATGCCGGTCATAGAAGACCGATCATTCTTTCATAAAAAGACACGTGAGCTGAAATTTAGTCGACAGTACGCGCAGACTCCTCCACACTTGGAAACTCGCAGTTCAGGTGATTTGGCTACACGAGCATATGCGTGCACGCAAGGTCTCCACGGGAGGGTGCACCCTTGTGTGCACGTTTTCTTGTGTAAGGAAGGCCCTGCAATACTACTCAGTCGGGTCTGTTCCGTAATCATTTGATGTGCAGGGTTATCACTATACAGGTGTTTTTTTTTTCTCCTTTTCTTCCTATAACGGTGGTCGAGGACGCTGATGTTGCTTTTCAAGAATTGTCTACTGATCACATTCATTCCCATAAACCCGGGTACCAAAGGCAGGCATTGCGAGCAGTACACCATCGCTCCGTTTTCTTGTTTGTGCTCATTACGGAACTTTTCCTTCGGACTCGTCCAATAGAAAGGGGTGAGCGTATAGGTGTATTACGGTCAAAATTGAAACGGTGGACACGCCTATGTACACAAGATTACATTTTGTGTGGGGGGGAGGGGGTGGAATTTACATCCTTATCCCTCCCTCTTCCGTATTGCTTTTGCTAGCTGCCTCCAAGTGGACTTGGTAGAGACTTCTCAAGAACTCGTACAAGGGATTCAGCTATATATACATCGCTGTCTGCAACGAAAAGGTCGCTTCTAGAGTGGAGCCACCCGAGGCTCAGGTGCAGACATAGTCCATATCCGCAAATTAAAGTTGTCGCCACCACCGTCCTTATCGCGAACATACCCGTACTGTCGTGACAGCTCACACATGTCAGCGTTTTTTTGGATCTCGTCCCATGTAAATGCATTCGTTGTGCTTAGATCACATTGTTTTTTTTTTTCCTTTCGCGAAGAGCAGGACTTCCTCGTCGGCAAACAATGAAGAGAAGGAATCATTACAACGCGTCCAGCTTGCAAGGCTCTCGCGTCTCAATCCGCGTCCCTACACATGTGTTTCTCTTTTTAACGTCTAGTAACTCACGTTTCCCGCATCGGGTCTGTACTGTGGCCGCCCCCAGCCGGCGAGCGTGACAGACGTTTCCGTAACATTCAGTTTTACACTTTGGTTTCTTTACGGTGCAGTGTGGTCAAGCCTTCTAAGAACTTGTGAGACGAAGAACAG